ACTTCGGCACGACGGGCGTGAGCCACATCTTCATCATGTGTCTGGTTATCTCATCAGGCAGGATACCACATTTTGAACTTTTCTCTCCAACATGGTCTTGGCTGACCTGGGTTAGCGCTGATTTGGGTCAGTGTGTCCCCGATTTGGGGGGCCCGCAAACGGTGTGGTGACCACACCGCGTGGTGAGTCAGTGGGAGTTCTCCGGTGTGCGCGGCTTCCCGGGGGCGCGCAGGGAGTAGTCAAACCCCAAGCACGCAGGCCGCCACTGCTGTCGCACCGCCTGCAGCGATCGACAGGCTGCGCACCGAATGCCACTCTTGCCTGGGGTTAAGTCGGGCGTGTCCCGCTGCAGGAGGAATATTCCCAAATAGTCAAAAAATAGTCGGGGGACTATTGTTTGAGCATCTTTTTGCAATTTGGGGGTATTTTTCCAGTTTTTTTTCCCGCTCAAGGTCCGCCTGTAGGGGGGCCCGACCTAAGCCTAGGGCCACTTGCTCATGGCCGAGCCTGTCGTCCCCCGCGGGCTGGAAGCCTAGGCCAGAAGACCTCGGGGAATGGAGGCTGGAAAACCTCCGGGAACCGCCGAGGACGCCCGAAACATCGCACCTCGAAATTCCCCCCCGCTGAGCCGCTCCCCTCCTAATTTCGCCCCTGACCCATGCTCCCACGATCGGTGTTCGGGGCCCACTCGGGCCTCCGGGCGGCCGTTCGGGACGATGAGGCAGGCGCCCACGGAACGCTCTCGGCGAGGCGCGGCCGTTGCAAAGCACCCCGAGGCTGGAAAACCTCCGGGAACCCGCGAAGACGCTCGGGCCCAGACCTCTGGCCGCTCCAATTTTTCCGATGCGTGGCCCCCAGAGGTGCCGACCACTTTCCCAGGGCCGGCTGCTCGTCCCGAGCCGCCTTTTGACGCTCCCGATGCCCAGCGAGGGCTCCTGGAGGCCGCACGCTGCCAAAATCCCGGCAGGAGGGGGAGGAGGAGGAGGAGGAGGAGGAGGAGGAGGAGGAGGAGGAGGAGGAGGAGGAGGAGGACGGGGAGGAGGAGGAGGAGGAGGATGAGGATGATGATTATGATGATGATGATGATGATGATGATGATGCTGATGCTGATGCTTGATGCTGATGATGATGATGATGATGATGATGATGATGATGAGAGGAGAGGAGGAAGGGAGGAGGAGGAGAGGAGGACGAGGAGGAGGGTAGGAGGAGAAAGAGGAAGAAGGAGGAGGAGGAGAGGAGGAGGAGGAAGGAGGAGGAGGAGGAGGGGGAGGGGGGAGGAGGAGGAGGAGGAGGAGGAGGAGGAGGAGGAGGAACAATAATAATAACAATAATAATAAGAATAATAATGTGAACAAGAGGAAGAATTCGAATAATACTACTACTATTAATAATAATAATAATAAACAGAAGAATAAGAAACATAATAATAACACTAATAAGACTCATCAGACTAATAATACTAATAGTATTATTAATACGAATAATACTACTACTAATAATGATAGTAATACGAATAATACTAATTCTAATAATAATACGAAGAAGACTAAGAATAATAAGACTAAGAATAATCAGAATAATAAGACTAATAAGAAACAAATAACAATAATGATGATGATACTAATAATAATAAACATAAAAATAATAATACTAATAAGACTAAGAAGAAGAGGAGGAGGAGGAGGAGGGAGGGAGGGAGGAGGATGAGGGGGCGAGGGCAAGCTAGGCGCGCTCGCGTCATATCTGACATCCTACCCCTCCCTCCCATCCCTTACCATGGCGCAGATCCCCTCTCTACTCGCACAGTCGGATGTCAAGCAGGGCGATGATCCCGAAAGGGTACGCGATGCATTGTAGAACACGGCATGGCATGGCGTCGAAGAGCACCGCGAAGCGTAGTATCAACCTAGCATTGCATTGCATGCCGTGGCATGGCACGGGAAATGACGCCAACGCTGCAGCGGGAGCACGAGTCGAAACGAGCAGAAGCGCGGAAATGACGCCAGCGATGCAGCGGGAGCACGATTCGGAATGAGCGGAAGCACGGAAATGAGGCCAGCGCTGCAGCGAGAGCACGATTCGGAACGAGCGGGGCCCGAAAGTGAGGCCGGCGCCTCAACGAGAGCAGCATTTGGAGACAAATTGCAGGCGAAAACCTACTCTGGGGAAGGCTTCCCTGGCGCCAGAAGCAGAAATTCAGGATTTTCAACAGAAAAATGAATATTGGAATGGCCTTTTTCGGCGCCGCCTCGGAACTCGATTTTCCGGCGCTGGCCGGAACCGGCTCCGGACCCGGCCCGGGCGTCGGCCCGGGCGCCAGCTCGGGCGTCCGGCCCGGGCGCCGGCTCGGGCGCCGGCCTGGGCGTCGGAATCGGCCCGGGGCGCCGGAAACAGAAATTCATCATTTTCAAAAGAAAAATGTGTATTGGAATAGCCTTTTTCGGCGCCGCCTCGGAACTCGATTTTCCGGCGCCGGCCGGAAGCGGCTCCAGACCCGGCCCGGGCGCCGGCCTGGGCGCCGGCTCGGGCGTGCAGCCTGGGCGCCAGCGGAAATGATGCCAGCGCTGCAGCGGGAGCACGATTCGGAACGAGCGGGGCCCGAAAATGAGGCCGGCGCCTCAGCGAGAGCAGCATTTTGGGAGACAATGCAAGCGAAAACCCAACTTCGGGGAAACCTGTGTGTAAAAAAACAGTACGCGGGGTGGGGTGGGGGGGGCGAATATTCTCAAGACGTCATCAGGGGAAGAGGGAGAGTAGTATTCATATTGGGTAATTGTGGAGGTTTTGGAGCTTACTCGAGGGGCTCGGAGTGCTCGCACCTCTCGGGGCGTTCGGACCGCGGAGTGCGCCCGGCGCGCCGGGGTGCTCTCGAGGCTCGAGGCTGGGAACGAAACGGAACGGAACGGACCCCCCCCCAGAGATCCGACGCTCCAAAACAATCGGAGCGGCGGGATTTTTGCCAGTTTTCCTCGTCCTCCTCCTCTTCCGCCTCCACAGTTACCCAATATGAATACTACTCTCCTCCTTCCCCTGATGACGGGTTGGGAGTGTTCGCCCCCCCCCCCGCGTATTGTTTTTTCGCCCCCCCCCCCGCGTATTGTTTTTTCACACAGGATTCCCCGGAGTTGGGTTTTCGCTTGCATTTTTTTAAAATGCTGCTCTCGCTGAGGCGCCGGCCTCACTTTCGGGCCCCGCTCGTTCCAAATCGTGCTCTCGCTGCAGCGCTGGCCTCATTTCCGTGCTTCCGCTCGTTCCGAATCGTGCTCCCGCTGCATCGCTGGCCTCATTTCCGCGCTTCCGCTCGTTCCGAATCGTGCTCCCGCTGCATCGCTGGCGTCATTTCCCGTGCCATGCCACGGCATGCAATGCAATGCTCGGTTGCGCTCCGCTGCGCGATGCCATGCCTTCAGCTGAAGCTGTGGTATGCAGTGCTTAAGTGCCACGTCGTGCTATGCCATGCTACGCTTTGATCTTCAACGCCATGCTATGCAATGTTATGTTCGGGGCCGCTGTGCGATGCCATGCTTTGCGTTGCAAAGCTTTGTGATGCAATTCTTCACTACGCCACGCCACGCCATGCTGTGACATACTACGCTTTGCGGTGCTCTTCTACGCCATGCCATGCCGTGCTCTACACTGCATCGCGTACCCTTTCGGGATCATTGCCCTGCTCGACATCCGACTGTGCGAGTAGAGAGGGGATCTACGTCATGGTAAGGGATGGGAGGGAGGGGTAGGATGTCAGAAATGACGCGAGCGCACCTAGCTTGTCCTTTTCTTCCTCCTCCTCCATTCCTGTTCCTTATTCGTAATTTCTCCCTGTCGCACCCGAAGCAAGTTTTTAGGGCGGGCCGTGCGTTTCGCCTGAGGCTTCCTCACCAGTCATGACTCTGAAGAAGCTCATAAAGATTGGCAACCGTTTCACACATGGATGGCGGGTCGTTTTCAAAATGTGGCTCTCGCCTCAGCGCCGCGCACATGCGTTTTGAACATGTGCAAGAGTTCCACGGATTGAGGGCGGGTGGTTTTCAAAATGTGGCTCTCGCTTCAGAAGCTCGCACGTTCGTCTTAAACATTTGCAAAGAGCTTCGCGGATTGAGGGTGGGTAGTTTTCAAATGTGGCTCTCGCCTGAGCGCCGCGCACATTCGTTTACAACATGTTCAAAAGTTTCACGGACTGCCCGCACCGTCCGCCCTGCTCTGCGGCGGCCTCCCCGCCCGACCGACCGCCCCGACCGCCCGCCCCGCCGCCCTCTCGGGCCGCCCCGCCCCGCAGGCCGCGCGGCGGCCCCGCGGCGGCCCGGCGGCCCCTGCGATCGTGGCACCATCGCAGCGATCGTGGCGTTGTCTGAGCGATGCTCCTCCTCGAGGGCTCCTCGTCGAGGGCTCCTCCTCGGGGGCTCCTCCTGCTCCTGCTGCTCCTCCTCCTCCTCCTCCTCCTACTCCTCCTCTTGCTCCTCCTTCTCCTCCTCCTCCTCCTCCTCCTCCTCCTCTGCTCTCCTCCTCCTCTGCCTCCTCCTCCCCCTCCTCCTCCTCCTCCTCCTCCTCCTCCTCCTCCTCCTCCTCCTCCTCCTCCTCCTCCTCGATGCCCTGAAAAAGAGTGGCAGCATCGCAACAAATCTTCCGACCGGAGCAGCCGTGGACCGTAATTGCTCTGCGCGGCTGCGTGCTGTACATGCGTGGGCAGCCGCCCCCACGATCTCTCTGCAGCTGCAGTGTGTCGTGCTGCTGCGCGTCCTGGTGGTGCGTGGAGGAAAAGAGGGGAGGACCAGAACACGACTGGAGCCTTCGACCCCCCATCTCTCTGCGCCATTCTTCGAGCCGCATCGATCTGTGAGGGTCGAGATCGCTCAGCCCGACACGGGGCGATATCGCTGAGCCCGAAGCAGTGGAGAGACGCCCAGGCTCGCAGGGGCCCGCTCGCGCTCTGGCGGGGCCCTGCGCGGCCCGGCCTGGCGGCCGCCGCCGTCTTGGCGCCCGGCTCGGCCGCCTCCCCTGCAGGGCCCGCCGGCGGACCGCGGGCCCCTCAGCGCGGGGCTGGTGCGCGACGCGGACGACGCGCGCGCTCCAGACGCGCGGACCGAAGGGGAGGGTCCAGGGCCACGTTCGGGGCAGCGTCGGCGGCAACGTCAGCGGCTGCGCCTCGCTGGGGGTGCTCGGCGGCAGCGGAGCTCGGCCGGGCGGAGCTCGGCCAGGCGGAGCTCGGCCAGGCGGAGCTCGGCCAGGCGGCACCCGGCCAGGCTGAACTCGGCCAGGCTTCAATCGGGCATGTCCCTCTACAGGAGGAACATTCAGAAGTACGTAGTCAATACATAGTCTGGGGACGATCCTTTGACTACTTTTGCCTATCTTCGTTTGTTTCGCTATAAAGAATGGGTACAATGCCCAGCAGCAGTTCCTGCTCATTTTGAACAGGACTCGCTGTCCGCGCCGCCGCGGCTCTGTCCGTTTGAGACAGAGGGCCGCCTGCCCAACAGCGGCCGCTGTTGGTTTGGGACGTCATTTGCTGTTGGGCATTGTACCCATTTTTCCGTACCCACTTCGGGCGTCCAAATTCGCCCAACGTCCCCCTGTAAGGCCAGGCTGCACCTGGTCAGGGGCCACGCGGGGGGCAGCGTTGGAGGGCCGCGCGCTCGTGGGGGGCGCCTGCGGGGTGGTGGTGCCCGGACCGCTCCGAGCGACCGTGGGGGGCCCGAGGTGCTAAGACGATCTCGGTTGCTCTTCTCGTCGTCGTCGTCCTCCTCCTCCTCCTCCTCCTCCTCCTCCTCCTCCTCCTCCTCCCCCCCCTCCTCCTCCTCCTCCTCCTCCTCCTCCTCCTCCTCCTCCTCCTCCCTCCTCCTCCTCCTCCTCCTCCTCCTCCCCCCCTCCGCTGCCACGGTTTCGCAGGTGGGTGCGTTGCGCCAGCGACGGCAGGCGCGGCGGGGGTGTAGGGGGGTCGCGATGCACGCTTGCGATGGGATGGGGGGGAACCCGTCACTGGGTAAGGCCCAGGTGGGCTGATCGCGCGAAACATTTCAGCCAACTCGTGGCTCGTGTTGGCTGAAACTCGGGCGGGCCTCGGGGGGGGTGGCTCCACCCCGGTTTTCAGCCAACTTGGGCCACGTCTTGGCTGAATTTCCGGGCAGCCTTCGACCTCCCGCAAGCGACCTCTCCTGCGAGCATGGGGCGCCCAGGCTGGCCACCCTTCCTTTACACCACTCTGTCCTCTGCGGGCTCCCCATTCACCCTTCCTTGCTGGGGCCCTCTCCCCCGTCCCCCCCCGCGTGGCCGGACGGGGGCCTGGGCCCGGCCCCACCAGGGTGGCGCACCGAAGGCCCGCCCACTCAGGTGGGGTTCTTCCCCCACCCCTTGGGCACCCGCCCCTCCCTGGGGGTGGGCCACGTATCAGCGAGACCCAAAGCGAGATCCTCCTCCTCCTCCTCCTCCTCCTCCTCCTCTTCCTGCTCCTCCTCCTCCTCCTCCTCCTCCTCCTCATCCTCCTCCT